TGTCGTTTAGTCATATTACATTGTTATGAAGTCAGTATGGTATGTCGCTTAAAGGTCATAAAAAGTTGAAACACAGAACCTTTGATTGTCAAACATGTCCACTTTATTTTTCTTTTGTACATGAACATTTGTACAAAATGGTACTTTGATTCTATGTATTGTTCTAATAAAGTACTACATATGTACAGGAGGGTTCTACTGTTTCCTGTTCTTTCTCTAAACGTTTCATCCAGAGGCGTGGCCATGAGTCCATATACGTGTCAATATAGAAATAAAGCTCTTTTAGTTTCATATATTTTGTTCTTTAAACTATTTTATGAACGAGTTCAGTGAAGCAGCTCGTGAGACTTTCAATGTCTGTCGTTAACGAGAAGCTTCGGTGCTCTGAACAAATGCCAATATGTGGAATATTACCCAGAATTCATCACATCTGTTCAATAAACATCAAACTGCATTTGATATGACAAAACATCCCAAAACACAAAACATACGTTTGTGACATTCAGTTCAACATCCTGAAATACTCGTTAAATATAATTATATAACTCATAACGAGTTATAAAAGATTCTCTTTGAATCAGTGAACTACAGATCAGAGAGCAGAGCATCATGGGAAATCTGTGATTAAACTTTAGTTTTCTGCTTTTAAAAGATGTAAAATCTAACATCTAGCTCCGCTTTTATTTTGGCGGGATGAAAACCTCAGACATGGTTTATGGAGTTCTGGTCCAGAACTGTCTGAGGTTCTGGTTCCTCCAGCAGCTAGAAACTTTGACCCACGGAGAACGTTTTGGCTTCTCTCATTGGCTGAACGTCGATGACGTCGTCACTAACATTCAAATAAAACAGAACATGAATGACGGATGCTGATTGGACGTCTACATTCACTGTGTCTCCTCGACATCATCATCATCATCATTGCAGAGCCGCGCTGACAGGTGATTGGTCGGCTCAGGTGGAGGGGGTGGGGCTCTGTGCTGCGTTCAGGTGTCACGGGACAGACGTGGTGATGTGGAGGAGCTCTTTTCCACAGCAGGAACTGAACGACCAGGACCTGGACCAGGATCAAGACCAGAACCAGGATCAGAACCAGGACCAGGAAGTGGAGCCAATATTGATCTTCTTTGTTTACATGCAGCTAATAAACATGTTTTTTTATTATTTACTTTACTCATGGTCAAGTCATTTGTTTTATAAATGAAATATAAAGACAACAGCTGTTAGCTGATTGTGTGAAGACCAACGCTCCCTGAACGTCACACAGAGGGATCGTTATCATTTCAAGATCTTCTCTGTAAATGTGGTTCTAACGACCTCACTGAGGAACCGCAGCACAACGTTCCTTCACAGCTCCGAACGGTTCTGGAGAGGAAAAGGCCCGTTGGCGATGCGTTCAGGGACCTTCGGTCTTGGTGTGAACGAGGCTGCCTTCAGGTCACCTGGATGAACACAGATGCAGGTGTCGGAGGTGACGTCATCGTCACATGACCTGAACCGGGAGGCGGGACGGACGTCTATGTGGCGCCCTGCTCGTTAGCGGCCACCAGGGATCAGACGGCGTCAACCTCCTCCAATCAGAGAGTCCAGCTCAGAAGGGACCGCCTCCCCCCAGTCAGAGGGCCTCCTGATTGGCTGTTAAATACTCCTCGGCCCTCTTGTGAGCCTCCAGAGCTTTGATGGTGTAGACGTCCTGAGGAAGCTCAGACTTCCTCCTCATCAGGACCTTGTCCTTTTTCAGGTCCTTCAGGCCCTGAGACAGGGGGTGCAGAACCAGACCAGGATCATTAGAGCGAGAGAGAGAGAGAGAGAGAGAGAGAGAGAGAGAGACAGAGACAGACAGACAGACAGACAGACAGACTACCTGTGAGGCCTCACTCTCCACAGTCTTCTTTAACAGCTGGATGTCTTCAGCTGTTGGCGTCTCTGTTTCCATTGAGTACACAGCTACAGTACTATCACTGTACAACATGTACTGTAAATATATACATAACAGATATTTACAACCGCTGCATAATTCACATTCAAAAACACATTTATCATGTTAAATAAACACTCGTAATGTTAAACACTCGTAATGTTAAACACCCATAATGTTAAATAAACAATCGTAAAAAGAAAGAACTGACCTCTTCCTGTGGGTGGAGTCCTGGGCGGAGGGGGTGGAGCCTATTGCTCTGAAAGAAAGGAACACAGTTAATTATATAAAGATCACTTAACACTAAAAGGTTTTTTTCAGCATTATGGGTATTTTTACTTTTCATACTTTAAGTACATCTTGCTGATAATATACTACTTATACTGAGATGATGAGATGATGTACTCCAGGAACATTTCCTACTGTTACACATCTTTTCTCTATTAATATATACTTGCCACTTTAATAATATACTTGTTTTAACATACAGATATGCGTTTGTTTGTTTACCATATTTTACTGTACATTTTTAAATAATGTCATACTATTGCACTGTGTTTATTGTTTCTTGTTATGCACCATTCACCAAGTCAAATTCCTTGTATGCGTAACGTACTTGGCAATAAACGGTTCTGATTCTGATGACATTTTCAATGCAGGACTTTTACTTGTAGTAGAGTATCTTCATTGTATATATAAATATACATATGCATACATATATATACGTATATGACAGTAGAGTGGAGTACCTGGGGGTTTTGTCTGGCCAAGTCCTCTATCTTGTGCCAGATCTGCTCTCTCTCCTTCAGCTTATATTTCTCTCTGCAGACAGAAGAGGATCAATAATTTGGTGTCATGTGTCTGGTTTTGATGTTTCATCGTGTAAACAGACTCAAACACTGGCAATGTGTTCTTACTTCTGTTTCTCGGCCTTGTATTGCTGCGTGCAGTCATCAAACAGCTTCTGGTTCATCTCCATGAAGAGCTTCAGAGCGTTGTAGATCAGACCGTGGATCGTCCTGAAGAACAGGACCAACAGTTTATCTACAGAACCACTTCAGTCCATCTGTGGTATGAAACCAGCCTTACACCTCTAATGGAGACTGTACATCAACCTGCAGTGATTGATCAGTGTGTTGATCGGTGTGTTGATCAGTACACTGATCAGTGTGTGTGTTACTTGTTCCAGTGGCTCTTGGAGTTCTTGTAGAGGGCCGGGAACATGATGGGGAGGATCTTAGCAGCGTTGTCACTGATCAGACTCATGATGTACTCGTTGTTCCAGTAATACAGAGCCCGCTCTGCCACCTGTGACACAGCAATATGACTTCATCATCATCATCATCATCATCATCATCATCAGGTACACACATATTCATATATCAATATAATATATTATACATATTTATTTCACTTTAACACACCAAGGAACACGAAAATAAAGCTGATTCTTGTTCCGAGGTTTGAGGCAGTCGCTCTGGTCTGGTCCTGGGTCAGGTAGTGCGAGGTTGAGTTCTGATCTAGTTTATGTTCTGGTCCTGGGTCAGGTAGTGCGAGGTTGAGTTCTGATCTAGTTTATGGTCTGGTCCTGGGTCAGGTAGTGCGAGGTTGAGTTCTGATCTAGTTTATGTTCTGGCCCTGGGTCAGGTAGTGTGAGGTTCAGTTATAATCTAGTGTCCTGGTCCTGGTCATAGTCCTGGTACCTGGAAGTGTGGACTGGACACACACTTGGCCAGCTGTCTGAAGAGCGGCTCCTGGACCTTGACGAACTCCGAGGGCTCGATGACGTCCAGGATCTCCTCCAGCTCGTTGAGGAACATCACCTCTTTGGGACTGTGAGTCTTGGGCCAGAACTTCAGCAGACCTATGATCACCTGGAGGGGTCAGAGGTCACGGGGTCACCTGAAGGTTACACTTATCACATGTCATGGAAACAGGAGGGAGACTCACCGGCTCTGTCAGACTGCTGTCTTTCTCCAGGAACTGGACCACACAGTATGCCAGCTGGAGGAGAGAGAGACAGGGAGAGAGTGAGACAGGTAGGGAGACAGGTAGAGAGAGAGTGAGACAGACAGACAGACAGAGAGAGAGAGAGAGAAAGAGAGAGACACAGGGTGAGAGTGAGACAGGTAGGGAGACAGAGAGAGAGAGAGAGTGAGACAGACAGACAGAGAGAGAAAGAGAGAGAGAGACACAGGGTGAGAGTGAGACAGGTAGGGAGACAGAGAGAGAGAGACAAAGAGAGAGTGAGACAGACAGACAGACAGGGAGAGAGACAGACAGACAGACAGGGAGAGAGAGAGACAGACAGACAGACAGACAGACAGACCTGTGGGTGGTAGACACTGAGAGACTTGACTTTATGAAGCGGCAGCAGAACTCTGATGAGAAACATCTTGTGTTCTTCTTTCAGAGGGAGAGCGAAGCCGTTGATGATGCTGAGAGAGAGAGACAGTTAACATTGTCATGATAACCAACGTGCGTGTTACCCATCGTCATGATGACCAACGTGCGTGTGTTACCTCCCCAGGATCTCCAGCAGTTCAGCGATGCCGTTGTGATGTTCTGTCTCATAGATGAATCTGGAGAACAGAAGATCAATAGATGATCACACAGAAGGTTGTTGATCAATAGATGATCACACACAAGGTTGTTGATCAATAGATGATCACACACAAGGTTATTGATCAATAGATGATCACACACAAGGTTATTGATCAATAGATGATCACACACAAGGTTATTGATCAATAGATGATCACACAGAAGGTTGTTGATCAATAGATGATCACACAGGTTATTGATCAATAGATGATCACACAGAAGGTTGTTGATCAATAGATGATCACACAGAAGGTTGTTGATCAATAGATGATCACACACAAGGTTATTGATCAATAGATGATCACACACAAGGTTATTGATCAATAGATGATCACACACAAGGTTATTGATCAATAGATGATCACACACAGGTTATTGATCAATAGATGATCACACAGAAGGTTGTTGATCAATAGATGATCACACAGAAGGTTGTTGATCAATAGATGATCACACGGAAGGTTGTTGATCAATAGATGATCACACGGAAGGTTGTTGATCAATAGATGATCACACGGAAGGTTGTTGATCAATAGATGATCACACGGAAGGTTATTGATCAATAGATGATCACACGGAAGGTTATTGATCAATAGATGATCACACAGAAGGTTGTTGATCAATAGATGATCACACAGAAGGTTGTTGATCAATAGATGATCACACACAAGGTTGTTGATCAATAGATGATCACACACAAGGTTGTTGATCAATAGATGATCACACAGAAGGTTATTGATCAATAGATGATCACACACAAGGTTATTGATCAATAGATGATCACACAGGTTATTGATCAATAGATGATCACACAGAAGGTTATTGATCAATAGATGATCACACAGAAGGTTATTGATCAATAGATGATCACACACAAGGTTATTGATCAATAGATGATCACACACAAGGTTGTTGATCAATAGATGATCACACAGGTTGTTGATCAATAGATGATCACACAGGTTATTGATCAATAGATGATCACACGGGTTATTGATCAATAGATGATCACACGGGTTATTGATCAATAGATGATCACACGGGTTATTGATCAATAGATGATCACACGGGTTATTGATCAATAGATGATCACACAGAAGGTTGTTGATCAATAGATGATCACACACAAGGTTGTTGATCAATAGATGATCACACACAAGGTTATTGATCAATAGATGATCACACACAAGGTTATTGATCAATAGATGATCACACACAAGGTTATTGATCAATAGATGATCACACAGGTTGTTGATCAATAGATGATCACACAGGTTGTTGATCAATAGATGATCACACAGGTTGTTGATCAATAGATGATCACACAGGTTATTGATCAATAGATGATCACACAGGTTATTGATCAATAGATGATCACACAGGTTGTTGATCAATAGATGATCACACAGAAGGTTGTTGATCAATAGATGATCACACGGAAGGTTGTTGATCAATAGATGATCACACGGAAGGTTGTTGATCAATAGATGATCACACGGAGGGTTGTTGATCAATAGATGATCACACGGAAGGTTATTGATCAATAGATGATCACACGGAAGGTTATTGATCAATAGATGATCACACACAAGGTTATTGATCAATAGATGATCACACACAAGGTTATTGATCAATAGATGATCACACGGGTTATTGATCAATAGATGATCACACGGGTTATTGATCAATAGATGATCACACAGGTTATTGATCAATAGATGATCACACAGGTTATTGATCAATAGATGACCACACAGGTTATTGATCAATAGATGACCACACGGAAGGTTATTGATCAATAGATGATCACACAGAAGGTTATTGATCAATAGATGATCACACGGAAGGTTGTTGATCAATAGATGATCACACGGAAGGTTATTGATCAATAGATGATCACACAGAAGGTTGTTGATCAACAGATGATCATGCAGACTAATATCGATAGCAGACGGATATTGATCCTGACCTGTAGAAGATGTTGTTGATCTGGCGCCTGATGTAGGCTCGGAGGCCCAGGAACTTTCCGTAGATGCGGTGCAGGATGGTCTTCAGGAAGTCTCTCTCTCTGGGGTCCTCACTGTCAAACAGCTCCAGCAGCTTGGAAACAAATGTTAAAGTCAAACCTCTCCTCCTCATCTTTTCAACATGCTCCTCCATTCTCTAGACATCACATCTTACCGACATCACAAACTTCTGGTCGATGTGTTTCTTGGCCACGTTGGGCTGGAAGTCCGGAGACTCCAGGAAGCGAAGGAAGAACTCGTAGACGAGCTGTGGAGACAAACATGACAACACCAACGATGTCCAATCAGGACCAATCATATGGAGCGGTGGGAGGGGCTAAAAAAGGATCTAAAATCTACATTTCTTTGTCAATGTTCTTTTAATCTTTAATCTTCTAATCTTTTAATTTGAATATTCTAAGTACTGGTTATACTCACACAATCTACTTTTACTGAAGTTACATTTTCAATGCAGAACTTTTACTAAAAGGCTGTGAATCTCTGGGACTCAGATCACATTGTGATTATAAAAACATTATTTTAGGACATGGTGTGAGGAGGGCCACGTGATGCGAAGGAGGTAGGAGCACCGGACAGGAGCTCCCGGACTGAACACTTTTTTGAACATTTCAGGTATAGCTTAACATTAATGAAATACGGAGACTGAAGTATTAAAGTCACTGCAGGATCTTTGGGGGGAAAACTGAAAAAGGACGAACCAGACGGTCCAGACTTCGAAAAACTGAGCCCGAAAAAGAGACCAGCGACTCCGACAACATGGCGGAAGGCGAGTAGATAGATGGCCTGGTGGAGAAGATAAGTGAAGGAGTATTTAAGAAACTCAGCTCCAGCCTGGATATAAAACTCGACCAAATAGCCAAATGGATGAGCTCGGTGTGTAAACATGTTAAAGCGGTGGAGAAAAGGGTGGACGAAGCAGAACAAAGAATATCCGACACAGAGGACTCTGTGTCACAGCTCCTAGCTAAACTCGAACGCACTGAGACACTGCTAACTGAGGCCATGACCCAGCTGGAGGACCAGGAGAACCGGTCCAGACGCAACATCATAAAGGTCATCAATCTGCCCACACAGAGGGGGATAACGCCAGGGACTTTATCGCATGTTGGCTGCCAAAAATCCTGAACCTCATGGTGAAAAACGACAGGATCAAGCTGGACAGGTGTCACCGCAGCCCCGCAGAACCACTCAACGAGGCCGAGGACCGTCTACATTCGTCTCCACGACTTCGCCGACAAACAGCTGATCATGAAGGGGGCGCGCAGCGCGGCTGAGGCGACTTTCTCCGGGAACCGCACACACGTCTTTGATGACGTCTCACCAGCGGTGGAAAAAAACAACGCAAATTCCTGGAGGCAAAGATATCACTCCGAGACCTCGGCATCCATTACAGATGCTGTATCCAGCTGTGCTGCGCATTACACATGACGGAGGAGTCCGACACTTCAGATCCGCGGATGAGGCACAGAGGTATGTGGAGGAGAGGAAGAAAGACAAAATATAATGGACAAATGCGACGCAATCTGGAATTAAGTGGACAGTTCATACTCGCGGTGGTCATGCTGCGGAAGTAACCCACAAAGAAAGTTAACAGACAACAACTGCAGCCACCCTGAGCCTGAATAATTTAAGTATGCGACACCTTTCTTTTCTTTTGTTCTCTCCATGCTGAAACTTGAAACTCAGTGGAACAAGCTGGTCTGCTCATGTAGTATATTACTATGTTTCAGGAAAGAAACCCAGTTATATTAGATATCATATCTTGTGACCGCACTGATTGATCAAGCTTGATTAAGACTGGGAAGAAACTTCCAAGGCTGTGGATTATAATAAGAGTTGCAATACCTGAAAACGTCTTCTTTATAATAGGGAATCTGGGAGCTCTGTTTTATCACCAGAGTTTGTTTGGATGTCAGGAAAAGAGGGGAACACGGTAGTGAGCAGGAGGTCTCACATGTGCCCTTTCAATAAGTTCAAGTTTCAGTTTGTTTTTGTCATTCAGTGCTCTTAAATGTTCTGTTCTGTACCACACCACCAGAAAGGAATATCCATCTGAACTAGGTCAGCAAAGGTCAGTTAACACATCTCCAGAGCGCCTCCAGGAAGTCTCTGAGAGGACAGTGTCTCTCTGTGACAGAGAAAGAAGTAGGACATGTCAGGGATAGATAGCATCAAACTTTGTACATTTAATGTAAAGGGGATCCATCATCCAATTAAGAGGAAGAAAATACTAAGCCTTCTAAAAAAAGACAAGATACAAATAGCTTTCTTACAAGAAACCCAGCGAGTGGATAAGGAGCACATGAAACTTAAGCGGGACTGGGTAGGCCAGGTTTACTACTCATCATTTTCCTCCAATAGCAGAGGAGTCTATCTTAATACACAAGGCCACCCCATTCATACATGTAGAAGCCACTCTGAGGGCAGATACATCCTTGTTCACGGCACAATGTATGGCACACCGGTCACTTTGATTAATAATTACGCATCAAAAAATCGCCAACTCCGTCACTTTGGACTACAATAGCAGCAGAAATAGAGGAAGGCAGATCTCCCTCTGCAGTTCTAGGTGGTGACTTTGATTGGTCTCCAGCAGACACAGATAGAAGAACAGGTGCAGGTGCTTTACCAAGTAAAGTGCTAGATGATATAAATCTGATAGATGTATGGAGGAACCCTAACCCATCAGTGAGAGACTTCACATTCTACTCTAATCTGCATAACTCTTACTCACGCATAGATTACTCTTTTGCCGCGCCGCAGATTAGAGGACAGGTAAAAGCATGTAGTAGAGGATCTACATGTCAGCGAACGTGCTCCAGGATACCTGGAGATGACTGAGTGAAGCTATGTCTTGCACACAGAGATGGCGTTTCCCATCATATCTCCTCACGGACAAGGAATTCAAAGAAAAGATGGAGGCTGAGTTGGATTTATTTTTTGACATCAACAACATGAAACAAACCCTGAGTGTCTCTGGGAATCTGCAAAAGCCTATATTAGAGGATTTACTCTCTCACAGATGTCACACCGGAAAAACTCCTTCAGAAGCAGAATGAACTGGAAACGGACTTAACAAAGGCAGAGCTGGCCCGTAAGTCTAGTCCAACCAGAACTCTCATTAAAGTGCAAAGTATCAGAGCGGCACTCAATTCAGTTCTGAATGAGAAAACACCTCGATCCTTATTCTATCAGAAGCAACCACTGTATGAATATGGAAACTAAGATAGTAAATATTTGGCCCGCCTGCTTAACCAGAAACTAGATGACAACACCAGGAATCAGAGATCCAGGAGGGAAAAGACGTTTAAAGAAGAAAAATATCAACTGTGTTTCTGTATCATTTTACAAATCATTTTACAAAACTGATAACAGCACTAAAGAGGAACTTGACAAATTATTTTCTAAAATTAAATTACCTACACTAACAAATGAACAGCAACAATCTTTGGGGAAACCCATTCAGGAACAGGAAATATTAGAAGCAATAGGCTCGTTCGAGTTGAACTGCGCCTCGCCTGGAAAGCAGACGAGAGCAGGCGGACGTAGAAAGGGGCGTTGACAAAAAACTGCGTTCAAGTCGGACCGTTTTCAGCCGCCTGCTTCTTCTTCTTCTGCTTCTTTCTTTTGCTTTGTTTGGCGGTTGGCAAACAGCTTTCGGGTGCATTACCGCCTCCCACTAATCTGGAGTGTGGACTAAGAACTCTAATACGACAACCAAACGAAAATAAATACATATACATACTGTATATACACACACATACATACATATGTGTGTAAATGAATAAAGATATGTATATAAATATATACATATAGAAAAAATAAAATAAAATAGAAAAAATAAATAAAACATTTCTTTCTCAAATTCTATTCATTAGTGTTGTTGACTCTAAATATTCCAGAAAAAGTTTCCAACATTTGTCACTCAAGCTTTCCTCTCCAATCTCTCTTAGACCTTTTTTCAAAACGTCTCTCTCTGACTCGTACCTCTGACAGGACAATGAAACATGGTCCACGGTTTCTTCTTCTCCACAAAATGTACACTTTCCATTATTATGCTTTCTAATAACAGAGGGAACTGTTCAGTCAGAGTCTTCAATCAGAGGAGCGGCGGTTCGATCCCCGGCTCCACTAGGAGCATGTCGATGTGTCCTTGAGCAAGACACTTAACACTAAATTGCTGGTCTTTAAGTTTGGATGTCTTTTCATATATTTAACTATGTTATTATTATAATTGAGGATATAAGATTGGGCATATTTTAGTTCTTGGATGTCATATTTATTTAAACATTTATAAAAATAAATATATGTGAAGATACAGTCATTTCTAAATCATACAACCGTAAATTTAAGAAATTTAAAAACTGAACCAACAGTCCAAACATCACAGCTACATAAACAGGCTCCACACGGAGGAAAAGCAGCGCTGCAAGTTTCCATCAGTGACAATTGTGCTTTTCTTTTAATACGTGTTGTGATGCTTCACAATCATTAATCGATGGACACATTCAGTGCTCTGACTGAGAACATGTTGACATCAAGTAGGATGTAGGCTTTCTCAATAAATATCTTTATTTACAGATGCTAAATAAATACCTTATATATTATTGTTATTGCACAAAATGAGACTAGATGGCTATTAAGCCAACAATCTAGCATAAAGTATTACAATTAGACAGAAAATTAGGATTTACATTTTTTTATACTATATTTATCCTGTTAATTAAGGATAAATTTGTCTCTGCATTTGACCCATCCCTATATATGGGGAGCAGTGGGCTGTCTTTGACATGCGACACGTCAAAGGCCAAGGCTTGAACAGCCGACCTTGTGGTCACCAGACAACCCTCTTAACAAAGTGAGCCACGGTCGCCCACCTTTGCCAATAAAGAAAATCTAAGAGCCAATCAGCTCTTTGATCCGAAGACAGCAAGAAGTTTCCCATCATGCCCTGGGGTCACGCAGTCAGTGGAGAGCAACTGCAGCGCCTGGCTCTAAAATCTGCGGCCACCCCGCTCTCGTAAGGTTATCGTTGCCCACGTCAGCGCAAGTCCCATCATGCCCTGGGGTCATGCAGTCGGTGGAGAGCAATTCTGCATCGCCTGGCTCTAAAATCTGCGCCGCCTCGCTCACGTGAGATCATCGTTACGCACGTTTTCATGACGTCAGAGCAAGTCGGACGCAAATCTACCAAGCATGCATTGTGCGCCGATCGCTGGTGATCGATACTGCGCACGCCTGGCTCAAGTCGAACGAGCCTAATGTCTTTGATGCACAGTGGACAATCACCAGATGGGTTCCCAGCGGAGTGGTTTAAAGCCTTTAAAACAAGCTCACTCCTCATCTGGTCAGAACTTATAATTACAGCTTTGACACAACTCACCACCTACCTGTAATAATGTGGCTAGCCAACATTAGCCTGATCTTGAAAAAGAACAAGGACCCCGAAGACCCAGCGTCTTACAGGCTCATATCGCTCATTAATGTAGACGCAAAGATTTTAGCCAAGGTATTGACTCTGAGGCTTGAACCATTAATATCAATATTAGTAAATCCTGGTCAAACAGGTTTTATTAAAGGGAGGAATTCCTCCAATAATACCAGGAGGCTTCTGAACATAACACAGTTTGCTAGAGATAATAATGTACAGGCCTGGCAGTGTCTCTGGACTCATTAAAAGCTTTTGTCAGGGTTGAGCGGCCCTTTCTTTTCTATGCTATGGAAACATTTAAAATAGGTACAGAATTCATTGACTGGGTGAAACAGCTGTATTTTTCTCCTAGAGCGGCCGTTATTACCAACTCCTACTGCTCAGACCCGTTCCCATTAGAGTGCGGCACCCGTCAGGGATGCCCATTGAGCCCTCTTTTGTTTGCATTGGCTATTGAGCCCTTAGCTGAGCTCATCAGAACCACACCAACGATAAGAGGTTTCAATGTCAACGGTACCATACAAAACATGTCTCTCTATGCGGATGATGTCCTGCTGTACCTGGTTGAGATAGACACTACCATCCCGTCTACTTGAATGTTTACAACAGTTTGGGAACCTATCAGGTTTTAAAGTTAATCTATCAGAAACTGAGGCCATGGCTATTGGTGGTCTGGCAGGCTCTACGCCACCTAGTGGATTCCCTTTTCACTGGTCACTCAGGGAGATAATGTACCTTGGAATTAGAATTGGCCCCTCCCTTAAAAAACTCAATCTTAAACCAATCACAACACGCATTAGGGAAGACTTGAATAGGTGGGGAACTTTACCAGCTTCCTGGTTGGGCAGGATAAGCGTAGGTTACTGTACCCCCTACAGATGCTGCCAGACTCAACTCCCAACAGCTTCTTCATTGACTTGGATAAAATGTTCACACAATTCATCTGGCAGGGCAAAAAGGTTAGAATGAAAATAGGTAAACTACAGAAAAGCAAGCAACAAGGAGGGCTGGGAGTCCCTAACACAAAGGTCTACTACTGGGCAGCACAGATGCGGTACATATATGAGTGGGTGAATTTAGAGCTACAAACGCATCGATGGACATGGAGCCGACAAATTGTGGTTTAGTCACTTTAAAGAACTGTCCCTTCATAAACTACAAAAGGGCAAAGCTGGAGGTTCAACATAACTTCATTGTACGGAACACATTGAACACCTGGAACAAGATCATGGTCCACTTTAGATTTAAGAATCATTTCTCACTTCTGGCTCCCATATGGAGAAACCCGGATTTCCCCCCTCATGTCAAGACTCTGTGTTCAGGCTCTGGCAGGAGGTCTGGACCAACTTGTCAAACTCTATGAAGGAGGAGCAATGGACTTGTTTGAGGACCTGAAGAGCAAATACTCTCCAACAGTCCCATTTCTTCCACTGTTACCCAAAACCTTACATGCTCCAAACATGTGCTTTCTGGAAGAAATCCTCACACAACCCAGACCAAAGAGCTTCATTTCTCACGTCTATGAAACCTTTGGCCTACATCTTAATCACTCCACTGACCACATCCACAAACAGTGGCAGATTGACATGGAGTGTCAGATGAAGGAAAATATATGGACATCAATTATGGAAAACACACTTAACATTCTGAGCTGTAGCACAGATAGAGAAAGAAACTATGACACAGACTGCATTGTACACCACTGCTGAGGGGCAGGCTGGTTCTACTACATGCAGTAAATGTAACTCTGAAGTTGGTACTTACTGTATATACACATGTTTTGGAAATGTGCAAAGATACAAACATTGTGGAGAGAAGTGAAGGACGAAGTGGTTTCTTTGATCGATATGACCTGGAGCTTTCACCTCCTCAATGTATGTTGGCAGCTAAAGTGAGCAGGAGGAGAAGCAACGACGCTGAACTGATTGGAATGCTGTTGTATAAAGCACGAAAGACTATTCTTAAATTCTGGATTTCTAAAGGTACCCCTTCCACAGACGACCGGTACGAGGGGATTCTGGAGGTTCTCCCTCTGGAACAGTTGACCCACACCCTCCATGAGCATGTCAAGGGGTTTCTCAAGATATGGAAACCGGTATTAGACGTGGCGGACCCCTCCGGGCTGGACTTTGCCCTGCCAGATTAAAAACACTGGTACCGCTGACTTGACCTGACGATGTAACCAACATGTACTGATGTCAGGATGCTGATGTGCGAATGTGTTATTATCTGCTGTGGTTGTCTTTTAAATTTTTTAAATATTATTTTATTTGTTGTTGTTCTCTCCCTCTGTATCGAATCCGTAACGTTCTGGAGTTCTGTCTTCAATATAAAGATATAAAAACAAGATTATATCTCACTGTGACGGTCTACATTTATATTCATCAATAAAAAACTGATCTTTCATTAATACACATTTTCAGTGTGTATTAGTACTTTCACTACAGTAAAGGTACTCTCTGGGTGTACTTTCACTACGGTAAAGGTATTCTGTGGGTGTACTTTCACTACGGTAAAGGTATTCTGTGGGTGTACTTTCACTACAGTAAAGGTACTCTGTGGGTGTACTTTCACTACGGTAAAGGTACTCTGTGGGTGTACTTTCACTACGGTAAAGGTATTCTGTGGGTGTACTTTCACTACGGTAAAGGTATTCTGTGGGTGTACTTTCACTACGGTAAAGGCACTCTGTGGGTGTACTTTCACCATGGTAAAGGTACTCTCTGGGTGTACTTTCACGACGGTAAAGGTACTCTCTGGGTGTACTTTCACTACAGTAAAGGTATTCTCTGGGTGTACTTTCGCTACAGTAAAGGTATTCTCTGCGTGTACTTTCACTACAGTAAAGGTATTCTCTGGGTGTACTTTCGCTACAGTAAAGGTATTCTCTGCGTGTACTTTCACTACAGTAAAGGTATTCTCTGCGTGTACTTTCACTACAGTAAAGGTATTCTCTGCGTGTACTTTCACTACAGTAAAGGTACTCTCTGGGTGCACTTTCACTACAGTAAAGGTATTCTCTGGGTGTACTTTCACTACAGTAAAGGTACTCCCTGGGTGTACTTTCACTACAGTAAAGGTACTCCCTGGGTGTACTTTCACTACAGTAAAGGTACTCTCTGTGTGTACTTTCACTACAGTAAAGGTACTCTCTGGGTGTACTTTCACTACAGTAAAGGTACTCTCTGGGTGTACTTTCACGACAGTAAAGGTACTCTGCGTGTAATTGTACCTGCAGGTGAGGCCATGCAGCCTCCAGCGTTGGTTCGTCCTCTTCAGGGTCAAACTCTGCTCCGGTCGGGTTTGAGGAAGGAGGAAGTGTCCGGAACAAGTTCACTGAAAACTGAACACACACACACACACACACACACACACACACACACACACGTGGTGAATGTGTATGTGTGTGTATATATACATATAAGTATACACATACACATATACATACACATACATATATATACATACACATACATATACATACACATACATACATACATATACATACACATACATACATATACATACATACATATACATACATACATACATATATATACATACATATATACATATATACACATACATTTATACATATATACATACATATATACATATATACATACATATATACAT